GCGGCGGCGGCGGCGCTGCCCTGCACGGGCCTCTCCGGGGTGGGAAGTCCCAGCTGCAAAGCCGAGGGTCGCAACTCCTCTAGCAGCAGCTAGCGTGGAAGCCGGTGTGATTTCATGAAGCGTTTTTTAATTATTATTTCATTTGGAAAGTGTATTCGATACATGCTGTCGAGGTGGCAAAGGTATCTGGATATTAAAAAATGTCCGGAGTGGGACGGTTCAACGGTTCAGCCCTCTTTTACAGGCACATTAATGAATTTTTCTGTGATCCTCTTGGTTTGGCAGCGCTCATGTTCAGCATATAGACTCCACATTATTTATTTTATTTTTTTTTCATGTCTTGGTGTCTGTCCATATGTCTTCCTGACCATACAGTGTTCAGATCCTGCCTCCAAAGAGAACAGTTTAATCTCTCATGAGCTTTTTTACTCATCTGTGAGCATGTAACAGCAAGTACTGTATTACAGTATAAAATATGATATTGTAAACACAGTTTTGTTATGCTGTATGGGATATTTTCCATAAAAGCACTGAATAATCTTAGAATAACCCAGAAACTACAGAAATGTTTTAGTAAGAAAGCGTGGCATGATGAACAGTTCTCGTGGTGTATTTTTACCAGATCCTCGCTTGCATAAAAATCAGCGTTGGGATTGAATGCGGACACAGCAAAGGAAAGGAAAGCAATCCCTATGGCTTAGTCTGATAATCCTCTGAAAGTAAATTGGCCCTACTCTAATCAACATAGTGGTTGGAAGAAAAGTGAAATTGTTTCGCTTCCAAGATAATAAATGTCAAATTCCAGAAGGTGTCCTTGTGTGTTTGAGCACACAGCTATTTTGTCTTGGATGCATGTCTCTTCTGCTAGTCATTCAGCCTTTTTTTGCCATGAAAACAAAAAACCCAAGCCTGCTTCAATTAATGAAGTTCAGTTTCACCTAGCTTGCCCTGCTGTGATAGTCCAGTTCAAAACGTTACCTGCTCTGCCCTTTAGAAAGACTGCAGTAACATTACTTTTACCCATTTGAATGCATGACTTGCACCATTCCCTTTCTAGGTTTGGATGTCCAGACCCCAACTGGGGAGACCGAGGAACACAGTCAAACAACGTCTTTATCCCAGGAGTGTCACTTTGTTTTGAACCTGTCTTGTTTTAGAAATACTACTGCATTCTGTTCTAATTTTCCAGAGCTCCCTAATCTTCTTCCAGGCTCTTAATGATGTAGTTGATAATAGGATTGTTGGTATTAATTTGGAACAATAATGCCAGCTGCTTGCTTGGTGGCTATTGGCAGAGGGGTGACCTTGCAGGTCAGCTAAGCAGAACTGGAAGTGCTTTGATCTGATTTATACAGAGCTAGATCTGTCCACCCGAACAAGAGGAGCGAGTGAATTCTCTCTCCATGGGATGCTGATTCTTCTCCAAAGGGCACGGAGGACAGCATGGCAGTGGCTTTTGATGCAATTCTTGCACGGATCAAGGATGTTTGTAAAAGAAATGGTTTGCTCATTCTCTCGGTGTTGTCGGTCACCATCGGCTGTCTTCTTGGATTCTTCCTGAGGACAAGACGACTCTCCCAGCAGGTAAGTGTGGCACAGCAGCGTATCACTACCGGGAAAATACCATACTTATGTAACAAAAGACATAGCAACTTGTGGAACGTCAGGGTGGACTTTGAAGATAAAAAGCATGTATATGTGTGTGTTAAATTTGTTTAATTTCATCTGTTTGTTAATCTACACTGTTCTTTGCGTCTTTTCACACATTCTCGATATGTTTGGAAAGGACTCTGGTCTTTAAGACACTGAGTAGGTCTAGCATAAGCACATTATAATGTTGCAAGTATGGATAATAATAGTGGGCATTTAAGCTAGATGAAATGCAGCACCTAAATGGCAGTGCAATATATTCATTGGATTTGACATCGCTTTGGAACATGTACGTCTAAAGAAAACACTGGGAACGTTTTTCGTCATCGGATGTATAGAGGTACGGATGTTTATATTACACCAATGGTATTTTGTGTTCCTAAATTTGAGATTTCTCAACATTAGCAGATCATGTTGTTAAAGTCCCTTGGGGATTTCTCCCCCAGCATACTTCAACTAAGTGCTTTGCAGATACTAATTTCTTTCTGCTGCGTTAGTCAGACAGAGTAGACAGGGTGACATGTGTTGCTGAATGCATTGTTTGAGTGCAAAGTATAAATCTAAATTAAAAAATACAGCACTTAGAAAATGTGGCTAAACCAAAACAATTCTGTGTTCTGCTACCGCTAACCGCTGTCTGAACACCTTTTGTGTCCAAGCAGCAGCTTCCTACACACACACACCTAGGAAAACACACAAAATGCAGAACAAAGAGATTATTCAGGGTAACCTATTGTCGGTAGTCCCTAAGAGATGGCATATTTCATTTTTCTCTTCCTTTGTAAAGCAACGAGCACTGTAATGTGTTTGGTGAATTAAACACGATATGTAATTAAATAATTTTAAAATTATCTTTTAAAGCCTACTCTCTTTGCCACTTTGGATACCAAAGCTGCAGGTTTTACCCATGTTATCTGATCCCCAGCTCTAGCAGGACTCGTGAAGACGGATAGTCTTCATCTCAAAACAATAAGCATCTCTCCATGTATTTCTAGGAAATTAGTTATTTCCAGTTTCCTGGTGAGTTACTGATGAGGATGCTGAAAATGCTGATTCTCCCACTGGTTGTCTCAAGGTAAGTGAGGACAATGATTATTCCAATAACTTTGAAGTTTCCTAAATGAGACATGTCACCACTACTTTAGTTTTAACTGAACTAATGTCAAAAGTGCCAGAAGCATTACTGACTGCTGTGGAGATTATTTTTAATCAATAGGATCGTTTCTGCAATACCTCATATTTGTATTATTTGCTTACAAACAAATTTTATTTTTTAAAATTTTTCTTCTTTCCTTGAAATGGGAGGACTTTTTCCTTCAAGCTAACTAGAAGTTAAATATATGGAATAGATAACCCACCTTATCAAAAAGCCTACCTTAAATCTAAACAATTGAAATAATACCCTATACAAATAAGATGAAAAAGCACAATTTATAGGCCTCTACAGTATTGAGAGATGTGCTGTAGTGTGATGAATATTGAAAAAAACCCCATGTCTCCAGTGAACTAATAGTATATGCCTGGCTTCAGCTGGAAGTGGAAGTGGTTTCTTAGTACATTAAAGGCAGAACCTTTAATGGTGGCCGTTTATTGGTAGCAGAATTAATGATCTAGATCCTGGTGCTGACAGGTGGTGCATGGTAGCTGCCTTTGCAATGAGTGGGCATAACATAGGATAGGTTTTTCTCTAAGTTTGACTGCCTTCCAACTGACTAAAGCCACAAACAACCACCAGTTGGATGGCCAAAAGCTGTCTCATGGGCCCGATGCTGAGAGAATTTATAAGGAGAGATGGAGAGTAGCAAAGCTAACTTTACCTTACTAGGCCTGAGAAAAAATTCTTGCAGTATTTGGTGCCTTTCCTTGAAGGAAAAGGAACCTAATACATACACCAAAACCTCATTTTCTGGAACCTTATATATACACCAAAACCTCATCTTCCACTTTAAGAAAAAAAAAAGTTTCTAGACCTCGGATTGCTGAGAGTTGCTGAAAATTAACACAACCCAGCACTAATTTTATTTTCAAATCATCTACCTTCTCATGGTTTTTCATAGCATGAAGCTGAGTCATGGTCTTTGTGCCTGAAACTGCCATATGACCATAGACTCGTACTTGGTTCTGACCCATGCAGCTAGAGAACATTAAGACAAAACATTTTAAGAGATTTTTTTGAGAGGTGGAAGGAGAGTTTTCCAAAGAAAACAAGAATCTCACATGAGGAAGTGACGTAGTGAGGAGGACAGAAATGCATTGGAGCAGAGTCACATGCCCTTCCCCAAAATGTCTAGGTCTTTAGATCTTGTGTTTTTTAGAGATGTCAGGAGGAGCAACAGCACAGTAGGGAGGAGCTGCTCTGACACAGCGTGTGATTGCTCTAGGTTACCTACAGATGAGTCAGGAGTGAATCTCTGAGCTGCACTGTTAGAACCGATGGGCTCCATTCTCTGAGGAAGAAACAGAAGAAACTATACAGATCTTCAAAGGAATTAACTCTCCTTGCAAGACAGTAGGAGTCTATCTCCCATTATAACAAACTTAACCATCACTTGCTATTGCATACTGAAATTTCAGGTTTTTGCAAGCAAAACATACTCCAGATGTAATTACATTCTTGTACAGTACTTTTTGGTTTTTTTGCAAGCAGCACAGTATTTCACAAAATCAGTAAAGCAGTGCTCTGTATTTATGGCAATCTGCATGCTCATTTAAACTAAATTTCTTTGTGGATTGGGGATATTCTCAACCTATCCTGCAGGAGTGATGACATTTAAATTATCTTTTAAATTACTCTCTGTTTTTGTTACAAAAGCTAGGGGTACGGCACCATAAAAAGAGCTCCAAATCTTACTCTCCTAGTTGAAATTAATGCAAGTTTTTCCTTGAACTAACAAGTAAAAAAATTACTTCTGATGAAAAGGAAAGGTGAGAAAGGAAGGTTAGAAGTGGCACTCAGTGCAAAATACCATGTCTCCAAGTTGAGTTTATCTTGAAGTGTTGTAGCAGAAGTAAAAGGTGGCAAGTGTGTGGCTCAGAAACCTGATAAAAGACTAGAAAATCTTGCACTTATAGGCCACTAGCACAAATCCAGCCTTAAACAGAAATGGCTGAAAATTTGTACTATCCCTCTTCTGACCTGATGGTTAGAGAGTTAAAACAGGAACTTGGCAGATTGTATCCGGTAGGAGTGAGAAACTGATGATATAGTCAGGTATCTCTGATGGTGTTTATTTTAAAAGTTCCTTGAATGCAGAAGAAATCAGTCGAACAACAGGAGACTGTTTCATCAATATACAGTTCCTTGTTTTACCCAGCTCTGTCACAGCACCCGGAAGTGCTGTGTCCCAGAGCTCCTGTGCCTGTTTCTGATGTCTGCTATCACCTGTGGTCTTCCATTTTGTTTTCCCACAGACAGAAAACTCTTGAAAAAGCAGCCACCAACCACTAGCCTGCCAGTTTGAGCCCTGCATGAGCTTTTGGTTTTGTTGTGACATGGACCTTCATTAAGGATGCGGGTTGATATTATTTCTGTTATCTGGTTACATAAACAAGCTTCATAGAATCATATCATGACTCTAAAATAAGTATGTATTTATTGCCTCCATGCTCTGCCTGAGATTTAGCCCTGCATCCACTGTGTCTCGTGTGTTGAGTTTGCTCTTCTCAGTGATGAGAACAGGTATCCACATAGCTAAGGATGCCACTTCTATTAGCAGCATAAAGAAAAACGTTATAACAGATAGTCTGACAGTTTGTGTCTGTCCTAGGAATACTCAGTAGTGGAGCATTAAAAGATCACATTTTAGACCCTGTAGTTACCAGATGAACAGTGCTTATTGTATGTATAAACAGAGAATACTGTTTTTAAACCTGGGAATGGGAATATTAAAACAGCTCAGAGAGAACAGGAGCCAAATCTGAATTCATAGTTACACACTTAGACTCTGCCTGAGCTTTTAGTGCAGTTGGATGAGGGGATGTCCTAAACGAGACTGGAAGGTTGACTGCAGGAGATCTGATGTTCCCAGATTCTCTTTGGGACAGAGACCTTGATCCTCATTTGATAACTGCAATGTAAATAATATCGTTTCTCCCTTATATGCAAAAGGTTTCAACGGACATCTCAGGTTTTCAAACAGGCACACGCATGAGTGGCAGTGACAGAGGTGAATCTCAGTGCATCCCGCCCTGTGTCCTCTGATATATTTAAAAAACTGGATCCAGGTCTTCAGACAGACATCTGCTGATGAGCGGGCCCAAGGTTCTCAAGTTAAACCGTCCTTCCTTCCTCATCTGATGCATTTCCCGGCATGTGTGGAGGCTCAGTCTGTGTTACACCCTGTGGCCAGGAGGTGGCGCTCTCTAGAAGCCTGAGGAACTATGAGTTGTTACGGGTGCTCTGTCACTCCGGACAGGGAGGACCTGTGTACTAAGAGGTCCTTCATCTGAGGCGTTTGCTAATAGTGCTGCCTACCCATAATAATAAAATCTCTACTGTCTTTCACTATGGTTAATTATAAACTTACATATACACACATGTATCCTTCACCTCAGGTAGTGCTTTCAGGACAAGTTGATTGGCGGAGATACCTGTGCATCACTTTAGCTTCTTAAATGCTTGAAATAATCAAATGTGATGTCAATGTCTTTGTGCTCTGCACAAAGCAAAAAACTGGGAGAGGAACAAACCCTCACGTTTCCCGTTAATATCTTCTCACGTTTGCTAAAGATAATATAAACCCTCTGACCAAATCCTGCCAGTGTCAGCAGTGCAAGGCAAGGGTGCTGGCTCAAGCACGGGACAGCCACACTGGCAGGTATTGTGCCATAACTCCTTTCAGAGCATCCTTATCCTTGTGCCTGTTCCCTGCTCCATCATCTTCATCTCAGGTTACTAGTTTTGTACTGGTCAACTTCCAGTGGGCCAGAAACTTGATTTACAGTAAGAGCAACTGCATTGACTTGAGTTTTTTGGGGAGGCTGTTACTGAAACCTGATCTGTTACAACTTTGTATCTTGCTGTGACTGAGGTTTTAAAGAAGCTGCAAACTCTGATTGAAAAATTTACCACTGCTAAGGCATTTATCATGCTTCTTTTTGGCATGGATTCCTTCCAGTAGGCAGAGAGCTTTCACTGTGGTGTGTACCCCAGAAAGGAAACTCAGCTCTCCCTTGCTCTTGAAAATGCAGAGGTACCAGTGGTTTGGCTCCCAGCGCGCTCCAGAGTTCTGGGCAGGCAGAACCACCATGTGCACCCAACCTCCTGCGTCTTCGAAGACTAATTGCAAAATGTGTGTGCTGCAGATCTGTAAGGCAGGTTGGAATAGGCAGGAATTGCAGCCCCTGGTTCTTTTTTAGATAATACTAGAAGCACACAGATTATTTCTTTCCTGTATTCAGCCATATAGTTTCACAGACCTTACAGGAGCTTAATTCCCTCTTTTGGAGTCTTCCATCCCTCTGTGTAATTTGAGAGAAAAATTAATCGAAATGTTATTAGTAAGGGCTCTCACACACACAAGGTTTGATTGCATAAGCCTTGCTTCTTCAGAAAAGCAGGCTACAGCCAGAGTTACATGGGTTTACACCAGCCGAACCTATTGAGTTCTCTTTGTCTTAGATGTCTACCTATATATGTAACAGAAAATTGCATCCATTATTTCAACACCCTCCTTGTTTATATGATTAAGCTTTTATCTAGTAATAGATATAGAGTCCAGTTTTCTAAGACTATGATTAGCAGTAAGCAGTGAGACTGCTTGTGGGAAAGAATTGTCAGGGCAGAACCGAACTGTTCAGCTGTCATGACAGGCTTGTTACCCCAATGAGTATTCCCTTTAGAAAAAGCAGCTTGTTTAGTTTAAGCTTAGAATAATTATTACATTTTGTATTTATTTACCACTGACCATTTTCTAGATATTTAAGAAATAATGAGTAGCAGAGATTTGATCCTTCTACATGTGCAGAATCTGTTAAAGAAAGATTGTTCCCTTTATAGTCAAAGCTAAATAACTAGTTTGGCCTGTATTTTTTAAAATTATAAAGCTTGTTCCTCTGAGTTGTGCCTGATTCAAA